ATTACAAAACACCAAAATTTAAATGGATAATTATTTAACACTTTTCCAATAAAATATGAAATTAAATTTTGGATAATATTACAAAACATCAAAATTTGAATAAACAATGTTGTAAAAATGTTATATAAATGTTATATTTAGTATAATGTAGCATTTTTTTTAAAAAAACACAAAATTAGAATTTAGACAATGTTGTTAAAATGTTATGTAAAAAATTGTCTAGTACAATGTAGTATTTTCTAAAAAAATGTAGGATTTATGCAAAATTAGAATTTGGACAATGGTGCTATTTCGACCTGTGATAGCATGTAAATATTTTTGAAAACCCCATTGAAGTTATTTCTTGTGCATTTAAAAAAAGTTCATGCATTTTTGGATCTACTAAAGAAAAAGCAAAGAGCAACTCATTAGCTAACTGCTATAATACATCCTTTCGTGATTGTGTTGCTCGTTCTTCTCTGACTGCAACTGTATCCCTATATATTCTGACATTAATAAATCTAATCGCTCTCGTTCTATCTGTACGAAGCTTATTTGCAACTTTAATTCTTCATTATCCATTATTTTCTTCCCAATATTTTGTTTTACAAACTTGACACCAAATCTTTCTAACACTTCATCAAATGCGAAGTAATGTTCAGGACGAGTGAGATTCACAGAACAAATACATTTAAGCAATTCTTGAAGATGTGAATCATCTTCAATATATGTCAAAAAATATGTTATTGACCTAGCATAGTTACCCTTTCTAGCAACTAGAAATAAAGGTGAAAATGCCGCGAGATTTCTTATTTGCATTTCATAATTTCCCTGCTGAATACCAAGTTTGTGTCTTATCCAATAGCCAGCCTAACATAAATAACAATACCAAACTTTGAGAATATTATTATTTTCACTTTCAATATCACTTATTGTTTGGTTTTTATTATGTAAATATTTAAATATTGCGATTCCAACGGCAGCCTAAATAAATTCCAAAACTCAACAGGTAGCCTGGTAGTCTACGACTTTTTCTAGTTTATCTAAAAATCAGACTCCAAGTTTTGCAGCTATATTGGCAATATCATAACCCGAAAAAATATTTATCAATGCAATGCACATATTACGAGAAGTGTGCCATTGGTTTAGAAGAGGTCTTACATTCTTATCATTATTGTTTTCTTTGTACAAAATCAACCGACGAAAAATTGCTTTGTCACATGCAATATCTAGACAACTGGTATTAGTTATTCCTACATCATCATAATACAAATCGCATGCATTATAAACGTTCATATTGCAATTCGGATTGTTGTCTAGTTTAAGTATAACAACATTCAGATGTGATACATTACATCCCATTGGTATTTTTTGAGCAATGTCTTTAAGAATACTATCTGCATCCCAATTATCTATGCGTGTAATTAGAAAATTTTGAAACATTTCCTCATAAAGAGAAAGAAGATTATTTGTAAAAACAGAAGTGCTAAATATAGATCAGTCATCTCTACTAGAATCTCTGGTATATATAGGATTATAACATTGAAGTTGCATAGGCATAGTAAATTGAAACACCATCCTTAATGTAGCATGTACACTTCTACGTGTGGCATCAAAGATATTTCCATATGCATAAGTTTGTTCTATAAAATCTATGTTATCGATTACTGATACATTCCATATGTTAGTACTCCGTAACAGTCTACTTTCTGGTTTTACATCTTGTTAATGGGCCTTTTCTAACAATCTTTCATATCGATACGTATGGAATATTACGTTTGCTATGCAAAGAATATTGTAAAGGGAGTGATGTAGTTTTAGATTTTGGCAAAGCGAACTCATAATATGAGTTAGCCAAATTTTATTGGCCAGAAATGCTATATTTAATACTATTGAAATAAGAAATGCAGTTATCTTGTTTACACAGCTTATATCAAAATTCTTTAATGAAAGACCCCTTTGCTTTCTTTTTCTAATTAATATCTCGTATTTTTTTCTTTGTAACATTTCAATAAATCCATTAAAAAAGTTTGTCAGACATGAAGGAAAACCATTCTGATATTCCATTAGTGGTGTTGGATTTTCAAGTTTGGTTTTATTTTTTTGTACATCATGTTGTGCTTTTCATGTCATAATTCCTAATGTTTTGCCAAAGTCCGTGACTGTTTCAGAGGTGAGTTCATATTTTTGATTCATAATTTTTGTTATGTTAACGTGCCTCAGTCTCAAAGCAATCTTTACAAAAAGAAGGCTAGAATAATCTGCTACTACTGAAGAAAACTTGGTATTATAAAATGTTGAAAGCATGTTAGTCAAACATACTAAGAGATTGTTTTTATTATTCTCGTCAGTGGATTCTGTCATAGATAAGACCCAGCGACCTATAATTTGAAGTGCTTTGCTTGTATCATCCTTATGCATATCTATACATTCAAAATTTGGCACATTTTCACAGCCTCTTCGCTCATAAAAATGCCCACCATATGTAATAAAACACTCTGAACATATATATTTAGGTCGATATTTTGCTGAATCATTGTTATTGTTAATATTTTCTGATTCCATCTCCTGTTTGAATATAGGGCAAACCTTAAGTCTGACACAAGGAATTTGCACATATTTTCCAAAAACATGTCTCGAATGCTGTATACAAGTCTTACCCTAACTAAAAAAAATGTTTGTATTTGTTACAAAATAAGCAACGCTAGCAAAAAATTCAACTTTTTTCAATTGAACGTGTCTTTTTAGTATTTGGAAAATGAAGCTAATTTTGATCATAAAGGAAGTGGGAATGACATACACCTATTGTTGACAAATCGTTTTTTGTTTGAGCTTTTTGAAAAATCTCTGGATTGATCTCCCAAGCTCCAATTAGTTAGGAAAGTGGCCTCTGTCTTTCCGAATGGCTTGAGCAGCATTGAATGGAACCATTATTAATGTCCAAAATTAAACATTTTGATAAAGATTCACTAGCATTTATTGTGTTCATAACAAAATATTCATTTTCATCAGTTGATCCCGATGTAGTCGACTCTGAATCAAATATTGAAATTGTTGATGTATTAACATCTACTTCAGTATCGGTATTGATATCTTTTAATAAAAATATATCATTATTTTCGTCTTCTTCTATAAGTGTTCTTGCTCTTTCAAAATTAGCATTAT